CAGAGACACAGAGACACAGAGACACAGAGACACAGAGACACAGAGACCCGCGGCCCGGCCCACCACCCCGCGCCTCGCACGGCGAGCTGCGCCCAACGGCCGGGGATCACCAAGCCACGGCGGCTCTCCTCCTGCCCGCCCGCCCGCTCGGCTCGGCCCGGCTCGGACCGCCGCCTGCCGCCCGCCGCACTCACGCCTGTCTCCGAGCGATGAGGCGATGCATGGGAGTCGCCATCTTCGCGGCCGGGAAGCGAGGCGCGCCGCGCTGCATGCCGGGCCGGCGCTTCCCATTGGGGGAGGAGGAGCGGCCGCCACAGAAAGGAAGTCCTCCCGCGGGCAGAGGGGGCGCCCTGCGGCAGGGAGGCGCGCTGCTCGGCCCGTCTCTCCTGCTTCGCCGTTGCCGTGGCAGCGATGGGTGGAGGCGTGCGGGAAGTCTGTGGCGCCGCTGGAGGCGGCGGGTGCTGGTCAGGAGGACGTTGATCGCACGCGGAGCTTCGCCTTTACTCGTTCAGTCGAATAAGCCAACGCGGCCGCCTGCTGCGGCTTCACATCAGCATGAAGGTACGTCGCGAGTTGGGAGGAGGGCGTAACATCTCTGGTCGTAGCATGAACGCTCCAAAGTAGTGCTGGGAAGGGCTGGATTTCAGAAGAGGGAAAGTGAACCTGTGTCACTCCTCAGGTGTTGCACCTTGGTAATTTTAAGCTGGTCTTTTTTTATGTTGCCCCACACTCTCAAAACTCCTCAGTTCCCGAAAGGCTCGTTTCTGCTGCAGGCGCAGTGTGTAACCACGGCTCAGTAATCCCTGATCACCGGCCTTGCAGGCACGGCAGGTGCAGCCCATGGGGACTAGAGCTGTCCTGTGCTTGATTGTGAGGAGACACAGCTCAGATGTAGGAATCCAAAGGCACGTTGTTTTCCCCACATCACTAAGCCCAACACAGAAGCCCCCAGCGATGCCAGCATCTCCCCGTGCTTCCATCACCTCCTCGCAGGCTGTGGCACAGCAGAGCTCCAAAGACAGAAGAGGAGCAGCATTCTAGCAGCACACACCTGGGGCTCTGCGGGCAGCAGCCCTTACACTGAGCACAGGGAAGCACTGCGGCTTCACCTGTTTGCCTTATCAGAAGTCATTGTTATCTCATGGGATCTGTTTTAAAATATCTTAAATCTCCTTACAAAAATCCTCAAGAAAATACACTTTTTAATGCTGGCTAGGGATTGCGCCTGCTGGGAGCACTTTCTGTCCAGCTGTTCTCAGTATTCACTCTGAAGCGTCCTATCACAGGGGCAGCTGGTGGGCAATAAGCAGGTATTCCATTAGACTCTTATGTTTATTCGAGTGCATGAACTCTTACGGATTCTCAGTAGGTTAGTAGCAGCTGAAATGTCAGTATTATGTCTGGTACATTATAAGTGGGGCAGTTTGGCCTCAGTACTGAAGCCTGGATGTATCTCACTTTTAATGGAGAAAGTCTGACAAAAGTATTTCCTATTTTAGGACTGATCTATTTTTAATAATCCATGCTTTATAATGAATTCCTGATCCTTTTTTATTTCAGTATCACTTAAAATCTTGGAGTACATTACACACCGATAACACTATCTGCTCTAAGCTTAACAACACTGGGTGCTCCTGGCATCTGCTCTAAGCTTAACAGCACTGGGTGCTGTGGATCTCTCCTAGTGTTACTGCAGCAGAACTACAGTTCCCTAAGTTTGCCAGTACAGCAAGGTTTCTGATGTCATATGCCAGAATACTCAGTGAGCATATGGGCTTTTCCTTACACAGGAAAACTGGATTGCTTTTGCTTACTAAAGCAATCCACTAAAAGTCCTTCTATTCTAGGAGTTTGGAAGCGTATTTGTGCCTTTCAGAGCTTGAAGTCTCCTTGGAGCAATGCTTCAGGGTCATTCCCGTCACTCAGAGGGAACCCACCACAGCACCCACGAATGCTCTCAGCTCCCCCCAGACTAAATGTGCAGAGTCATTGCATGGTACTCGGCTCCCTGGCAAGTGGGACATTTCCCTGCTGTTCAATGAACTGAGTGTAAGCATAAATTCTGCCTTTGCACACTTGGTTGCTATTTAAAGTCACAGTATCACTCATCAGGGAAATTACTTTCCAAAATGTGCCCCTCTCTATACAGCAAAGGGAGGAGATCTACAACAGTGCAGGAAAAAAAGCTGGGGATGGTGGTGAAGCTTCTGTGGCACAGACACTGAGCTGCCTTTTCATGGTATCAAGATCACTCCTGCCAAGCCTCAATTCAAGTTAGTTTTCATTGGGTCTGCTATTGTAAAAATGCACTGGAAGGAGTAATGTGCCCCAAAAATCTGTTATCTAACTGGAAGTCCAGCCATGGTTCACACTGAAAGAAAAATTAAAAATCAGCTTTATTATTACAAGGCTCTTAAATTAGATTATTTCTGATCTTAACTGTAGATACCAACAGGAGGAAGTACTGGCTAGCTACAGATGAAATACTTAAAGGAGAAAAAGTCAGTATTCCCATTTAGAAAATTCTATAGCAGTGGATATTGGACACTTGCCATTTTCAATACACTTTTCTATATTTTTAATGCTCCCAATCCATTCTGTGTGGGATTTGGGGCTCACCCCCTTCCCCGAGGCAGCAGGGCCAGTGCAGTACTGCTATGGGGAAGTTTTGTCCTCACAGCACCTCTGTAAGCGTGAGCAGTGGGGCTGCTCCAGCCTATAGCACGGCGCCGTATTTTTAGATCCTCAGCTCACATTTCAGTGAACATGAAGTATCTTTGTGTGTCAACAGACCCAAAATGTCTCCCAATGGAGCGTGAAGCATGTCGACGTAGCAGGGACGTAATCTGGGCAGTTTGTGGAAGCTTACGTCATTAAATCTATCACTGGAATGTGTTTGATGTACAGCAAATTCAGATGTTTTTCTTTCCTGGGAAGTCATAGTGTGTGAGGGAGCTGGGATGGCAAGGAGGGGAGGGCTGGTACCTGGGCAAGACATGAATTAGGGAACTTTCAGTTCAGCTTGTTGAAGGTCTTCGTAAGGCCTGAGCTTGTGCCCAGCCACTGTCCTTCATCTGTCAGTGAGGAGCCCATGGGACCAAGCCCTGGCTTTGTGGGCAGCCCAAGCACAGGAGCTGTGGAGGAGGACAGAACGGTGGAGCCTACCTGCAGACTGTCAGCTTTTTGTGTGCTCAGGAATTGGGAAGCTCCTGGAGGTGCCCTGCTGCGGGGTGCTGCAGGCTCCAGTTATTGGGGAACCATTGCACAGGATCCCATCTACACTTCTGTGTCATCACTAAAGCTGTTTTCTTCCTCCCACCTCTCTGTAGAAGGCTTCCCAAAGCTCTATTGCTCCAGTTAATCCAAGATCCCCACAGTTTCTGAGTTAAATTTGCTAGCGATCTGTTTGTCCATTAATTATTGTCAGCTGTTCTTTAAATTAGTAATTTTCCATCTCCAGTATACTGATGGGCAGTGATAGCATCACGTCTTGTGTTCATTTTACAGCATAAGGTCAATCTCCATCTGTAATACCGCAATACAGGCTGCCCTGATGTACTCATTTCTAGCATTAAGAAATATATGGAAAGCTCTGACCTAGCCTTAATTATACAGCTGTGATATCTCCGTAGCAGGCAACACTGGGAGCAAATAATTGCCTCAGGAAAGACTTGTGTATTCTTCAGACTTACGTGGTGTTTGTTTACCACTTTCCATTATTATTTGTGTCCATTTTTTTGTCTTTTTTCCTCTTTGCTTCTGTTTTGCTTCTTTGGGACAATTTCAGTTGATTGCTTGAGGTTTGGTGGGCAGTTATCTAGCCCTGATACTTCAATACCCACAATGGCTGAATTAATAAACACATGAAATCTAATTATCTATTAAGCTTGAAGGAAAGCTATGGAAATCCTTAGAAAAGGGAAAATTCTCTTTTCAACATCTATTTCACTGCAAATTCTTGAGATAACTGCACGGGGGAAAATGGTCCCAGAGCAACTTTTCATAGGACACAGAGCATGGAGCTGGGATTTTCTGAGAACTGCAGTGTGATTCATATCAGAGCTGACGGCAACACGATACGGCAGCTACCCTCAGCTCAGGAGATTGCAAAGCCCATTTGTGTCTGCATGTCCCAGAATAGCACTATGAACCATACGTTAGATGACATGCAATGACTATTTACAGCAGACCAAAGAATAGCCTGTGACAGATATCAGCTAGAGCTTATTTTAAGCCCAGATGCGTTTTCCTGATTAGCTTTTGTTAATGAATTGCAAGATATGCCACTGTAAACAAAGTCTGAAAACGCTGGATTTACACTGGGATGCTCTGTAGTGGCAGATCTGTGGTTTGCAGGCACTTCTGCTTAGCACAGAGATAACAGGAAAAAGGAGGGTGTTTAGTCTGCCAGGCAAGGGTTTATCTGTGAAGTTCCCAAGAGAAAGTTTGTCACCTGGTTATGGAACTTCAGTGTTTTTCCCATTTTTGTTAACATTATCTTCAAAAGTCTAAGAACTTCTGTTACATTTTGTTCTTGGAATAATTGACATCTATTTTAAAAGGGTCAGACAGCATCTTTAGCAGCACCTTATTCTCTTTTCAGCTCTCCGTAATTTAAATCATGCTTATTGTTCAAAAGTCAAGCGCTGAAAAACTGTAGGAAAAACCCAGTGAGGTGTTGTCCCTGCCACTACTTTGCTCTTCCATCTTGAAGTCGCTTTCCCTACTGCAAAATAGTCTTCATCAGGTAAGAAATGCGAAAGCCTCGCTGAAGAACGCATACTGCAAGCTGTGTCTTTCAGCCGCGATCAAACTCTGCTTAATTCTTAGCAGTACTTGTTACAATGTTTTCACATTTTTTACATTGGAAGTCTCATTTTTTAGAAAGAAAAACACTGAGAAAATAAAAGAGAGTGGGGAGGGCCACAAAATCCTTTTAATTCCAGACCCCAATATAATGACAGCTCAGATTTGGAACTGATACACGTGTTTCCCCCCAGAGCACCCCGTGTGGGGCCGTGGAGCTCCCTCACCCCTTGCACCCCTCAGGCAGCTCGGCTGCTCCGGCTGCTCGCTGCTGGCAGCGCACCAGGACCACAGCCCAGCGCGGTCAGCTGCGCGGAGGAGCAGCCGGAGCCGCTCAGCGCCTCGAGGCGTGAGTCCTTCAGTGCCGACCGCCCGGTGACGCCAGTCTGTCGTTGCCCCACAGCCCCGTGCTGGCAGCTTTGCTCGTTTCGAAAATGAAAGTGAAAAAAAAAAGAGGAAACGCAATGATATTCTGGTTCTTGACTGTGCCTCGAGTATGTGCTGCGTGATATTCTCCGCCCAGAACGGCAGGCTTGTTTTATTCACTGGCCCTTCCCCATAAGCTCAAGGACGTCGGAGGTTAAGCACTTCATTATTGTTCCGTCATTAGCACCATGATGCAATTCCCAGCCCACGTACAGCTGCCAAAGCGGTGTCACTGAGCGTGCTGCAAGGAATTGCAGGCACTCAGAGCTGTCTTTGGGGCAAGAGTCCTTCCTGGTTTAAATATTGAGTTTCTCTACCATGTGTTTTCTGTATCATTAAAACAAAGAGCAGAGTTGTAAATAAAAGATTGGGAATTTCGAAACATCCTGTTTTGACACATTGCATTTTTGTATTTTAAGCACATTTTATCTCAGAATTAAATACATTCCCAAATATTAAGTTCTACAACAGTCACGAAGCATCTGAATTGCATCTGTGTCGGGGTGAATCAGCCACTCTGTTCCACATTCTCCCCTACTCTCTTCCCTCTCCATCATCTCTACTGTCGTCCCATCTTGGTCCACCACAGCCTTCCTCCACCACGCAGTCTCACCGGGTGACAGACCTGACACCACGCTATGCAGCAGCCTTGGCTTTTCTTTCTGGAGTGAGAAGCCCACCCACCTTCCTGGTCAATGGCTCCCCTGAACCCTTCTCCCCAGTTCTGTTATACTGGGCAGCCCTCGCTGCATCAGCATGGCCCTGCAGTGATGCCCACCTGACAGCTCCCCCACCACTGACACTGTGGAACATGCTGGAGTTCTGTGATTCCCCAGCCCTAAAAAGGATTTTTCTCCTGCATACTCACAAAGCTCTTGCTGGCCAAATGCTTCCCTGGAAAACACGATGCAGCTAAACAAATCTGTAATACAGCAGCAGTGGCATGAGCTCTGAAGATGGTTTTGCTTATACTAAAATTCTACCTGTTAATTAGAGATCTGCTGTTCTGTTATTCCCACTGAATATCAAATCATCATACGCCAAATTTTATTTGTAGGATAGGTGGGAACAAACTGTATTTTAGCCACATTTTCAAATAGTGAAGCTATGAATCCAACCTTCTTGTTTCCGTAATTGAGAAATAAAAAACTCAGCTGCCTCACTGCCCAGCTGTGTTTTAACTGTGGACGTCTTTCGTTTTATCGGGGAGTTCCCACAGAAGGAAGTACTTTAGTAAATGCTGTACGTGCCCATGTATGGTTTAGATGTGTTTTTCCCAGTGCACCTTTTGCTTTGTGTTGCAGAGGAGGCCTAAGAAAAACCAGCTAACAGCAGCCCAGCTGCTACCACTGTTACTATAAAAACTGGCAGATCCGTGGAAGCGTTCCTGTGACATACAGGCACCTATAAAACATTACTGATATTTTAGCACCCAAGGTTGTGAAAATAGAACAAGATGAAAGAAATGCATGTGTACCTGCGAAAGGCTTCAGGTAGAATCAGCGGTGTGGTTCTGTTTAACCAACGCAACATAAGATTGCAGTATCCTGACAGCAGAAGAGAACTAGGCTGTGGATGCCCCATCCCTGCAGGCATTCAAGGCCAGGCTGGATGTGGCTCTGGGCAGCCTGGTCTGCTGGTTGGTGACCCTGCACGCAGCAGGGGGTTGGAACTGGGTGAGCGTTGTGGTCCTTTTCAACCCAGGCCTTTCTGTGATTCTGTGAACTACTTGGAGCCGTTTGGGTGCTCAGCTCCTTCTGTCACATAAAGCCTTGATTTCTGTAAATTTTCCTTCTCTTGGCACTCTGTTCCTCCTCAAGATCCATTATAGTCAGGTCATCATAATAAATCACAAGTTTAACTTGGTGGGAAGAAAGTTTAAATAAAATTTCTGTGCTCACACTGAAAGCCACAGAAGCCTCATAAATCCTCAGAACCAAAGGAATCAACCCTAGGGATCTGCGGTGCTTCCAAGTTTTGACTTTATTGCACTTTATGACATTCCATGAGAAAAGCCATTTCTGTGGAGGAGCACAAAGCACGCTGCCAGTTCCTGTGGTCACCAAGGGACGTGGGAGACCCTGACAGGTGAAAAAATTCTGGGAGCGAACTAAAGTGCCAACGATTCTTGATTTTCATATCACAACCAGGAGCCCGAGGTCCTCTCCACGCTATGGTGGGCACGGAAGCTCTCGCAGCCGCTCGTCCCAGACCCGGCACACCGAGCTCCGGCCGCCGGAGGCGGTGCCCCTCTGCTCTCCAGGGCCCTTCTGCGGCTGCGCGGCGACGCCGCTCTCCGCGCGCCCGGCGGAGATCTCGCGAGAACACCAGGTCCCCTCGCGTCCCGCTCGGCGCGGCGCTGCGGCCCTACGGGATCTTTCGAGAAGTGCCGGGCCCCGCCCCCCCCCCTCTTCCACAGCGCCGCCGCCGCCGCCGCGCATTTAAACGGGCCGGGCCGCGCTGCGCCGCTCTTCAGCCGTCCGTCCGGCTCGACCGCCTCGCCCGGCCGCGCCATGTCGGTGGTGGGCATCGACCTGGGCTTCCAGAGCTGCTACGTGGCCGTGGCCCGCGCCGGCGGCATCGAGACCATCGCCAACGAGTACAGCGACCGCAGCACGCCGTGAGTGGGGCGCGGGGCCGCGGGCCTCAGGGAGCGGGCGGGAACGTGGCGTCGGCTCGCCGCCGCTGCCGGAGGCGTCGGGCTGCGATATTGACGTCTGTAGCGCCGAGGGCAGCGCATGCAGCCTGAGTGCTGCGCCGGGCGGAGCTCTGGGCCTCCCTGCCGTGTGTGCCAAGCCTAGAACCTGAGCCACTGTGAAGGTGGGGTGTTTGAACCCCAGCGGAGGGTGAGGAGTACGGCTGTTCAACGAGCGCAGTTGTGACGGTGTAGCGGGGCCGGCTGTGTGAGAGCCGGGGAGCCCAATGGGAAGCTCTTAGGAATGCTTTTGCGACTCCCTCTGTGCTAGAGCGTAGCTTTGTTTTGAGCGTGCTGAAACAAATGTCTGTCTTGGTGAGGAAATTGCCTTGTCTCGGTTTTCTTACCCTCGTACCTCCTTAGGAAGATGAGCATAGGGTGACCTTGTGTTTCATTAGATGCCTCAGCTCTGTTTGCTTCTTTCTGCTGAAAGCGGTGAATAAAAGGAGAATAATGCTTCTGTCTGGCTCTGTGTGCCAGAGCAAGGGCCGCTCTCTTGGGCTTCTTCAGCAATACAGTACATAAGTACAGATGGACTGAGGCAGTGTCCCACATAAAGCTGTTGAAAGCAGGAGCTGTGTGTCAAGTCTTCAGGCTGCTGAGGTGCTGCTTTGGTATATCTGAGATAAGAGCACAGATTTCCCTCATCGAAGGGAGATGAGTGATGGAAAGTGTTGTCCAATGATGTATCTTTCAGGAAATGATTATGGAAAGTCAAAAGTGTGCAAGTGGAAAAACTGTCATATTGAAAGTGGCAGTTTTTAACTGGCCTTAATCCTCAAGTGCTGTTCTGGAAGCCTGTACACAATACTGAGGGAGTATAGAATACAGTTCTGTGAGCACATGCGTTTGTATTAAAATGTTCTTAATGACTTTAAATGTCCAACATGTGAATGAAGGCCTGGCTCAAAGTGTTGGAGCTCTGTGTCTCCTCAGTGAGTTCTGGGCTGTTGTGTGAGCTGCTGGGACCTTTCCTCAGGAGCTGATTCCTGGTCAGGGTCAGGCAGTGTTCTGTGCTTTCCGCAATGAGCTTTGGGAGGGATTAGCAGGAAGAGTTTATTGCAACTGAGTGTTAATAAGCAGAGCCCAGTGAACATGCTGTGCTTGTTGTTCAATGGCAGAGATGACATTTTCACTGAATCTTCTTTCAGAATGCTGTGATTTGGAAGCTGTGTATGCAGAGTTGGTGCAGAACAATTGTATTTGAATGGTGGTCTTGAAGAGGACTGGAGTAGAGAGTGAGCTGAAAATAAATGGGATGGGGGAGGATTAGGGCTGTTTCCTGCTCCACGTGGGGATGAGGGTGCTTGAATTACATGAAATAGTTGTAAGTGATCTGAGGAAGCTGGTGCTGGGTTTCAGCAGCGAGGAAGTGTGCTGTTAGACTGTGGGTGTCTTCCAGGGAAGTGGGTGAGGTGGGGTGGGTTTGGGGCTGTGCCTGCAGGGACCTCCTCGGGTGTAAGGCAGGGCAGAGCTCTGCCGGGGCCGCTGTTAGACCTGACCTCCACTGTGGTTGTTTCTATTTAAAATGCTATGGTTAGTTATTCAACTTTCAGTGAAATGCGTGTAATTACTGGCATAATTTGTATTTAATGAGCTCACCGTGGTTCCTTTGGGCTGACTGGGGAGTGAGGCTGGCAGCAGTCCCTGCTGTGGCTGCCACAGCCCTGCAGTGCCCCATGTGGGGCTGCCCTGCTCCGGTGTCCAGCGCCAAGCAGGTGGCAGGTGTGGATAAGAAGGATATTTGTGCTGGAGTTTTTGTTCCTGATGTTCTAACGGAGAAGTCTCAGTACGTAGTTACTGTGCTCTATCCTTTTCTTGAGCCAACCTTCTGCCTTGAGGTTTAACTCTGGCAGATCTAAAGAGGTCTAAATAAATTAGTGGTGTGTGGTGATTGCGGCCTGATGATCTGTGTATTTAGTAGCAGGATATTTTTTTCTTGTAGGAGAAAAACACAAATCCGTGCTCATGCCTTAATTTCCTTCAGGAGAGCAAAGTAAATGAATAACCAGCTCCCTGCTGTGTGCTGCGGGGCTTCTGGCTGTGAGCTGTGCAGCCCAGCAGAGGCCTTAAAGTTTGCGTGGTACCAGAGTGACTCACTTTTCATTAACTAATCCCTTAATAATTGTTTCAGAAGATTTATTCCTGGAATGTTAATTTGGTTGCCACGCATGCTTAAAGGGGTGGGCCTAGTTTCAGCTGCTGAACTATTACTAAATTGAGATCTTTAAAAAAGAAATTATCTCAGTGCAGCCATCCATTCTGCTTTTGGCTCTTTCAGTTCAGAGGACCAGTTCTAAACCTTGGGATGAGCTGAAGTTTAGTTTGTGTGGGGCAGCACTATGGTATAACCCTGCTCCAAGGTAGTCTCTAAACATAGAGATCAGCTTAATTATGTTGTTAATGTCTTGTTAATAGTAACGACCTGCTTGACTAATTGACTGATGAGGGCTTTTCCTCAGTAACTTCCTCAGTATGGGGGTCTGGGACAAGAGAGCAAGGTGGGAAAGAGTTTACCTTCAGAGCCTATAGAGTTAACTGAGGTGGAAGTTGGCAGCTCAGTAGCACTAGGCATTTCCTCCAGCAGGAGCATTTGTCTGTTTTCTTCCATCTGTGAGCCCTGTGTAGAGTTTGGGGTAAATGATAGCTTTTTATCCTTTGATAATCTGTGCTTTCATATCTTGAGT